CTTATAATATAATATAAGGATGCCGAAATTGGACTTAATGGGTTTTTCATGTTAAAGACCGTGAAAAACTGGACCATAGTGGTGTGTTTAATCCAATTCAACCAAAAATGTGACTTGTGGATTTTCGCTGTACGCCTACGATATATATTTATTTATTCTAACTAGCGTGACGTCATAAATCTCGTTCCGAGGCTGTTCTATTAGTGACGGCATTGCGTCAGCATGGCAGCATAACCTAATAAAATTAACACTAGAAAAGCCCGCGGGAACTGTCAAATTCAAAGTTATTCGTTTCACAGACTATATCAGAGGAGAATGGAAAATACACTTTCCCTCCTACAACAGGAAAATTCCCATGTATAATGAGTTATAGACTGTATAATGAGTTAAACTCAAGAAAGGGGGACACAATAGATCTTTAAGGTCGCGGTGATCAACCCCCCTTCCTCTATATCATTCTATATTATCTATGTAAAGTGTAGTTTTAGTTGTTTCAGACCGTTCGTTATCAATATTATTTTAAACGATTAATGTGATTTCTACTGTCTGCTCAGAGTTTTATGACAAGATGTTCGAATTTCCTTTAAAACAATAGTATTCTAGCTCTCAAAATTAAGTAACTAAATCATGGCATACATAAAATTTCTAAAATATCCATATTAATAGGTGAGAAGTGTATGTACGCATACGTAAAGCTGAAAAATAGCTCCTTATATAATTATTTAGAATTCACACTTAAAATTTAATATTAATCAAATAAGAGTCAACTATGCCACATTTCCTAGAACCGTAAGCCAGTTGCATGTGTAAGTAGAAATGTAAAAACAGGCCATGCAAATACATATAAGCAACGTATGCATGTGTTTTTATAATTGAAAATATACACAGCGAATGCGTTTGAATTAGCATAGCTTAAGATATTTCCCAGCTATTCAGCTGTTACCTTCTGGAAGCAAAAGCTATTTATTGCTCTCAGAAATCGGAGAAATAAATTGACACATTCGAAAGGTAAATATTTCGAGGCTATATGGTAGCAATTTATTATTAAAACACGCTGTATACAATGTACAGGGTGCAGAGTGAGTCAACGATAGAGTTAGAGAAGTCCATTATCTCATTTGTTTCGAAGTTGACATAACAATTTTAAATATAAAAGTTATAGGGAAGATTAAGATACACATTTTAAAATTATTATAGAGTATACAGGGTGCTTCAAAAAAGTCAGGCGGATATAACGTGTTTTTTTTAATGCAAACCCTATTTTTTATTTTTTATTTTTAAAATTTTTATAATGTTATATACCTAAAATTAATAGATTTTGTAATATTTCAGTCTTCATGTTTAAACAAATGTTAGATTTCAGTGTGGTCTTCATCTCTCTATAACTCTCCTACCAAATTTTAGTAGTCCAACTTCAGAAACAATGGCATCACTGACAATTTTTTACCACAGTGAAATCCAACATTTGTTTAAACAAATTGAAATATTACAGAAACTATTAATTATACAAGGTGTCCCAGAAATACGTGCAAATATTTTAAGGGGTGGTAGATCTCGATAAAACAAATATATTTTCTCTTTGCCGTTTTTCAAATAAGTCCAAAATAACGGAGTTATTTTACTTTGAAAATTTCCAAATAAAATGATTTTTTGCTAAAATTTTGGGAACCACTGGATCTTTTCTGGATTTTCTTTCTTGTGAATTTAATCTAATACCAATGTTGCCATATTATCAAGAAATTATGTTTTTTAACAAAAAACTAAAAAATTTTTCAAAATATTTCGAATTTTCAAATTTTTTTTTCGCGAAAAAAACCTCATAGGCGTGTTTGGTTTGGCCTATGAGGTATTTTTTGCGAAAAAAAAAATTTGAAAATTTGGAATTTTTTTTTTAGTTTTAAGTTAAAAAACATAATTTCTTGATAATATGGCAACATAGGTTTTTCAGCTCAAAATTTTAGCAAAAAATCATTTTTTTTTGGAAATTTTCAAAGTAAAATAACTCGGTTATTTTGGGCTTATTTGACAAACGGTAAAGAGAAAAAATGTTTCATTTGACCAGATCTACCACCCCTTAAAATACTTGCACTTATTTCTGGGACACCCTGTATATAATATTATATTTAAAAAAGTTTTAGGCAGAATCTAAAAATTAAATAAAAAAATAGTGTGTTGCATTTAAAAAAATGTTATATCCGCCACACTTTTTTGAAGTATTTTTGCTATGACTTTAACATTTTTTTGTAAACCTCAAAACACATGAGATAATCTCTCGTTGACTCACCCTGTACTAGGCCAGTCTGAGTATGAAAAAGTTTGTGCGGCGCAGTAACTACTGTAAGAAAATGATGTAAATGTTTTGATACGATGACACTTGAAGGAGCAGTGAAATCTGAAAGTGTCACAAATCAATACTTATAAGGAAAGGCATACGGTGTATTAAAGAGCCAACGTTAAGATTTAATAATATACTCTTCCTGTGGTGATTGTAAATTTAATTATGAATAATGTCAAATTCATAGTGGATAATTATGATTGGATTTAACGTCAATTTACCTGCCGACCATCTAATTTCTATCGCATTTTATGCCGTTAAGCTGGCTTGGCTGCTCAAAAGCGCAATTTATTAAGACAAGATTAATTTGATATAAATAATGTCGTAATTTCTACCGAACGTTGTTAAATGTCATCTATAGAAACCGAATGGACTGCTAGACAAGACGATGCGGGAAAAATGGTCCGAAAATGAAAAAATATCCGATCACGATTTGACAGTATATAATCAAATACACATCATAAATTGCTTAGAAATATTAGCTTTCTTTAAGTAAAATATAATCTTGTGAAAACGATCCGAGCGCTTAACAATATGGTAATAATCGTTATTAGCGCTTAAATCAATAAAGTAATCGATAAAATTCCAGCAAAATTGCGGCTTTCCTTCAAGGAAAAATATTAATTGATAGATGGACTGTTAGCAACCGATTACAAGAACGTGGAAACCCAGATTTGTGAACATTCATCTTTGTCAATTAAAAAAACTATTATATTAAGAATAATTATGATACACGTTGATATGACATACGGTAACCTGGTTTAGGTTAATTTTTAAACAATCATCAATCAATTTTTTCAAAAACAAGGGTCTGAAAAGTTGATTTTCTTACAGTATTTAAGTATTTAAAACTTTAAGGTTTAAGTAATCAAAAATAGCCTAAAAAGGTTTTTTGAAATTGATTTTTTCAAAGTATCAAACCAAACCAAACCCTTTAACTGTTAATTTTAAAAAAAAAATAATAGTGACATGAATATTGTCGATTTTCGTCATGTCACCGATTATGTTAAAACTGCTATTATTTACTAATTAGTTTATTTATTTACTAATTATTAGAGTTTACTAACTAAAAGGCATAGGATAAGAAAATATAGGACATTGTAGTCTTAGAAGAACTATAATGGATGTAGGGTACGTTAGAACCATCAAAATACAAAATACGTGATGACCATCAAAAATAGCTCAAAAACAGGGGTCCAAAGAATTAAGTTTCTTGTAAACCAAATTTTCTAAGCCGTTAAAGGTGTATGTATTCTGAATCTACATAAAATTTCCTACAAGTACTAAAATTTTCATAATTTTATGGCGATGATCACTATTTTTCTAAAGCCTTTGAAAATGTGCAAAAAGTAGACAAAAACTGGAATTTTTTGACTTTTTTCCATACATATATGTATATGTAGTCATGAAAATTGACGATTTTTGTCATGTCACCGATTTTGGTAAAACTGCTGTTATTTACTAATTAAAAGGCGTAGAATAAGAAAATATAGGCCATTGTAGTCTTTCGAGAACAGTAATGTACTTACGACTCTTAGGAGACGTTTTAACCTAAAAAACTTATTTTCTCACAAAACAGCTATCTAAGCTTCTAAAGGTGGATATGTTGGAAGCAGGTGCCGAATTCGGCCTATGTCCGAAATAATTAGACATATGGCGATTATAATTAAATATACATACCTATATCCACAAAGTTACGCGGAAGAGATTTTTTTTATTGCATTGCATTGATTTCAACTTCTATGCGGAGGGTGTTAATCTTTTGTTGTTATATTATACCAAAAAAAGATTAACCCCCTCCGCAAGGAAGTTATATAAAGACTATTTATAACTACGAAGTTGCACGCATCTTTTAAGGCAAGTTTAGTATGGACAAATCGCCATATGTCTAATTATTTCGGACATAGGCCGAATTCGGCATCTGCCTCCAACAATATATATTCTGAATCTACATAAAATTTCCTACAAATGCTGAAATTTTCATAATTTTATGACTATGATTACTATTTTTCTAAAGCCTTTGAATATGTCGAACTAAAAATAAGGACAAATGTTTAATATTCATAAATTATTGTGTCATTCACGTTGACATGTGGCAATGAAGAATCCGTTTTTTATTTACCATTCAGTGATTATATACATAGGTGTTAATTTCCTTATGTGAAAAAGAAATAAACACTGAATCACGCTATCTATTCTATTAAGATCAGTATACTTAAACTAGCAACTTACTAACAAATTTATTAAATTGGTATGTATTTCATTAAACATATATATTTTGTTGGTTTATTTTTGGTTCGTTTAAACGAAATCTAGTTTACTTATCATCCAATTAAGTAAATTAACTAACATATAACGTAAATCAACGTAAAATCGACCTTCATGTCCTGTAACAAGTTTTTGAGAGAATAAGATATTTTAACGAATATGAAGTTCGGTTTTTCATCATTTAATTAGATTTAATTTAAAACGAAGAAGGCGCTAAACTGGTTATTCAAGTTTCTTTTTATTCAAATTGATAAAACTGTTTTTGTTTTATTTCTAAAAGAATATTTAGTATTCATAATAATATTAAAATCAGTTGTGTAGCTCTTTTAGAACCTTACCTCACCCTGTAAATTTAATAAGTAGGTTGGTTCGCTGAAAAACTAAATGTAACACTTACTTATTCCGACTGGCATTATCCTGATCTGTCTCGGCTTTTTGTTCCTGCTTATTTACCTAGTTTCCAGTCTTCAGTATTTCCTGAAACAATAAAAAAGCAACCATTTAAACCTGTCATTGCATAATTCTGAACTACATATTTAGTTCGTGAAAACCCATCATGTGTCATATCTATGAAAATAAGAGGATATTAATATGCTCCACGCCTAGATATGTAGATGAGTTATTATGCGGGTAAAATGTGAATGATAATCTTGTTTGATGCTATAACAAGACATGATTGCCGTGCAAAGCTGCCTCCTTATTAGGCAGATTTGAGCCTAGAGTCGATTAATTCTCAATGGAGAAAAAAAGTCAGTTATTTCAACGGGTATATTTTAAACTATGCCGGTTCGGCATAGAAAATGGACAGCTCCGACTGAAAAACTCAACCAATAAATCATATTTTCCTTCCGGCTATCGATACTTAGATAATTAAATTTATTTTAGCGTTGAAAATCTATTTTTTATGTTGGCCGGCAGCGGCGTCTAGACAGTTATTTAAACTATTTTCATTCTTAATAATTAATAAAACAGGGGTTTTCACAAGACTACTGGTTATAACAAATTTGAAGCTATAGAAGAAGAAATTATTGGCGTATATACGGGGTGTCCCAGAAATAAGTGCAAATATTTTAACTCGTAGTATAATTCAACCCCAGAAACACACCTATGAAGTTTTTTCATGAAAAAAAGAATTGAAAATTCGGAACTTTTTGAATTTTTTTTAGTTTGTAGTTAAAAAACCTAATTTCTTGATAATATGGCAACATAGGTAGTAGATTAAATCTACAAGAAAGAAAATCTAGAAAAGATCCAGCGGTTCTCAAAATTTTAGCAAAAAAATATTTTTTTTTGGAAACTTTCAAAGTAAAATAACTCCGTTATTTTGGACTTATTTGAAAAACGATAAAGAGAAAATATGTTTCTTTTATCGAGATCTACGACCCCTTAAAATAATTGCACATATTTCTGGGACACCTTGTTTAGACTTACGAGTACATTATTAGGAATAGGCAATGTTTCTTACCATAATCAAGAATCTTTTAAAAATTTTCTTGTAAAATCCAAAAATTTCAGTTTCCCAATATTTAATTATAATAAAAATGCACAAAATTTACTACAAATTCCCAAATTTGCATAAAACATTTGAACAGAAATAAGTGTACAGTAAATATAATTTCTTCCTTATGTTTATGTATGTTTTAAAAGGCTACAGTACTAACTATACCACGCTTTCAGCCTTTATAGAGCTGTAAGAGCGTAAAATTGATAACACATATTTGGTTACACTTCTTGTATCGTTAGACAGTTAAAAATCGTCTTTATGTTTCTATACATGTTTATCTTACATATTCTGCTAATAAATTTTATGTCTCTTTCGATTTTAGATACCTCTGTTTATGGTTCTTTACCGTTACCTTAACAAATTGTGCTTAATAAACTTTTAACTTAACATTATTTATATTCCAACTATTCTAACGTAATATATCCATTCTCAATAACATAGGACCTCCTTTAAAGTTTTAATTCCTTCTATAATTTTAAAAATAGTACAAAATAAAACACCCAATCATTTAAATTTTATACAGTGTACATATTAAAAAAATATCGTACCACGATGTGCTTGGATATGCCTCAAAAGCAATAAAAAGTTCCCCTAAAACTGCTGCAGAGGAGGCGAAAATTATTCATGACTACCGCAAGAAATGGGTGACACTTTATGTGTTACGAAATAGAATTATTATAAATTATTATTTTCTATTTTATTCTACGAGGTTCTCCAAGTTTTGCCAAGTGAGTAGTGACCAACGTCCGAAATCTTATTAATTATCAATATTAGAATAAGACAAAGAAATCTTGTTTGCTTAAAATAAAACTGTTATACCGTTACTGTGTGTTCGTTCAATAACCAGAGGCTGGAGCAGTCGAAAGAAAAGGTTCACTGATTGACAACAAAAGGAAATTACAGTCTGAAAATACAGACCTATTGACTCTGATTAGTTAAAAAAAAGTCCTAAATTGCCTGTACACTCGGTTACACTGAGTTACACAGCATTATTCGATATATTTTGTACAGAACATTGACAAATGAAGCCAATCAGTCTTAATGATGAAACTGATTTAAAAATTAAATTAATTTACTAAAAAAGTGATTTATTTCCTTTACAGCTCCTTAGAGGAGATAATAATGCCTAAAACTTATTATTTTAGATGTAATGTCCTCTAAATCCACGCTATGGGGGAGATCAATAATTAACCAAACTGTATTTAATCTATACGAGGGCCACTCAAATTTATTTCAAAGAATTTGAAATACTTTTAATAATTCTCATTAGTGATGGACGGTGGGCAATTACCCAATTAAGGGTATAATAGGGAAATAGGGTATAATAAAGAAATTTGGGTATACACGTGGTATATACTCATAAGGTGTAGGGTATATACCCATTGAGAGTATATTTTGTCCTACATACCGGACGAAAAATATGGGGTATTTGCCCAAATTTCAATATACCAGGTGTTTGACCATCTTTGATTCTAATGCATTAATTTAATAACTTTACACAAACTATGAGAATATGCTTTTTTATGGTAGGTGCTCTTTAATTAAGAATATAGTAAATTTATTTTAAAAAGAGATTTCATGCAAAATATCTTAGCTTTTTTATATTTTGCTGGGCCTTGAGGTAATTCATAAATTTGCAATAAATTCCTGTCATAATATGTTCGAAATAAGCATCTTGTCAACTATGGAAAATTAGCCCGGAGCAAAAACTCTCGAAGAAAGGTAAAATAAAAATAATAAATTTTTAAATATCTTAAAACATATTGTCAATACTTGCTTTCATTTTGAATCAGTTAATTATTTTATGTACTGATTAGCGCTGTAGCTTAAGAGTTTGAGGTTTCTAGACATTAAAATGACATTATTTCAAACATGTATGCTTCAATATAAAATAAATTCCATAAAATAACTTTTCTATTAATAGATTGTTTATTAACAATATTTTACAGACTTTACGTTAAATAACTCTCGACTAAGTGATAAAATGACTAGATATTTTATGTCCTTCGGAATATTTTATTCAGACAATTCAGACAATTAGAAAATTTACTTCAGAAATAAAGATAACTGAATATCGATATGTCCCCGTATATACGCACCTAAATTCGCAAGTTCCTCTTCCACATGAACGACTCTTACAAATTTCTTTTTGTATAACTGCATAAGGAATTAACAGTAAGCAATCAATTATGTTTCCCAAAAGCACTTATAAAGTGAAGGTACGCGTTTTATATTAATTATATAGTGATTAGGATTAAATTATTGACAAATTTATAATAACCAACTGGTTTGGAACGTAGACAGAACGCCTTGTTGTCAGTACAAATTATATTTATCCAGTCTGAACTATATGGAAATTTGAATATTTTTTCCAACTAAAATCTAATACAACAGTTCATTAATAAGTACCATAAGCTGAAACAAATTTCATAATATTCCACACCTCAGAAATTACATTAATTTTATTATTTTCATACTCTAATAGAATAATTGTGTTATGTATACTAATATATAACATATTATTATTAAATTTAATTGAGTAAGCCACGGAAATGAATTTTTAATACAAGATTGCTTTATTACCTGACGCTAGCTATGTATAAGGCTAATAATTAAGCCTAGACGATCTTGAATTTGTTTTATCAATATCTTAATCTTCCCCACCCCTTGGTTACGCCTATGGAAACACAACAACTGGAAACAAAATAAGCCACCTGATTTTATATGGAATTTAATAAAAAATGACTAAATAAAAAAACGAGAAATAATTGATGGATAAATAATAAAAAGAATATTTTAGGTTTATATTATTGCATGTTAATGCAAACCGATCGATAAATATGTGTGGAAAACATTACTAATATTGCTTAAACATAAAATATCTTATATACAGGGATATACAGAAATAAGTGTACGAGAAATAATTGATGGATAAATAATAATAACAAGAATATTTTGGGTTTATATTATTGCATGTTAATGCAAACATTGCAAACCCATCGATAAATATGTGTGGAAAACATTACTAATATTGCTTAAAATATCTTATATACAGGGATATACAGAAATAAGTACAGTTTTAACTCGTAGTACATTTCGGCCTCAGAAACACGCCTATGAAGTATTTTTTGCGAAACATTTTTTTGAAAATTTCGAATTTTTTGAAAAAAATTTTGGAAATGTTTTTAGTTAAAAAACATAATTTTGTGATAATATGGCAACATAGGTAGTAGATTAAATTTACATGAAAGAAAATCCAGAAAAGATCCAGTAGTTCTCAAAATTTAAGCAAAAAAGCATTTTTTTTTAATTTTTAAAGTAAAATAACTCAGTTTGGACTTATTTGAAAAAATGTTTCTTTTGACCAGATCTATCACCCCTTGAAATACTTGCACTTATTTCTGGGACACCCTGTATGTCTTCCAGTTGTACAAAGTTGTAAAATAGCTATCAATTTACTGAGTAACATAAAAAAGGATAACATTAAGTATGTAATTGCGATGCTTGTTAAAAATATGTACTTTATTTGCATTACCTGTTACCAAAGTACATAAATAAGCAGATAATTGTAATTAAATTTTGTATTCAGAGTAACAAACTGCCGCCTGGGAAACTAATTTGCGAGGAAATTTCGAACTTTCTAAACCTATTATTTATATGTGATGATCTGAAAGCTCCAAAAAACTACCCTATTATCGACAGTATTCGTACAAACTAAATATAATACTTCGCATACATTTCCTTAATCATGTCATCACGGAGAAAACCAAGCTTATTAGTTGAAATTTATTCTAGACATTAAATTTTATTCAATTGTCTTAGTCTAATTGTAACGGTTTATTCAAATGGCCTATTGTTAAAGAAATATTATTTCCAAAAATATATCACAAGGCATATATACAGTTCTAACTGTTTCAGTGCATAGCAATAAAGTACAGAATATATTACGAAGTCATGATATATTAATTACTAA